GCTTCTCAAAGTCAGTGTAGCTGAAAAGGCATTGCTATGGATGCATGTTGTTGTATAATTGTATTTAAAGCAACACTGTCAACTTGATGAATTTTTTTTTTTTTTTTACTTGATAAACTTTAAGCTCAGGCCCAAGCTCAGTGAAGCAGTTCAGCAGGCGAGCAGGTAACTGGCAGCAGCCCAAGGTGGCTGCAGACTTAATGCCAGTGCTTATTCCTAGAGCTCTACAGAGCAGCACAAAAGGTAACTGGACGCAAATGGAATTTCAGTCATCCACTCCTGAGCAAAGTAGTTTCTGTGGTCATGGTGAGATAAGTGAAGGATTCCTCAGGCTTTTGGATGGACAGTGACAGCTTCCACCCTGCCTAACTGGTAAAAAATATTGTGCAGGTATTTGCATTACATAAGAAGGCAACAACTTGTCATTATGATCCCTGAGGCAGGACTGACAGAGATGTAATTAGCTAGACAGGAAAAAAAGTGCTGTTGTAACTTATAGCAGTTTTTAACTCATTAAAATGTAAATACTGTACTCCTGTTTATGCCTAGGCAATTAGACTCTGACCTTGCATGTGTAAATGCTTAGCTTTCTATGTGTGAGGAGTCCTATTGAAGTTAATAGTTTTGTTCTTGAGTAAAATTAATCATGAATGTAAATGTTTGCAGGATTGGGGCTTCAGTTCAGTAACGTCCAAATTCTTCATTTAAATAGAAAAGAAAGAGCTGGATCTCAGAAGATGATTTCTACAGACCTTCTGTAGTGGAGAGCAGTAAAGGCTCAATTCATGCCAATGGACCTTCGCTGGAGGGCAACAAACAAGGCTGGTCCACAAAACTGATTAGTGCACTTGATTTGGAGGGGCCCCGCCTGCCCCCTTCAGAGATCAGGAAGCCCAAAACATCTCCTGACCAGGAACAAAAGGGCTTCAGTGTTGTGCATCGTAGGCAAATAGGTATGTGCCAAGAACTGGTCAGTTAAACAGGTTAAACGCTTTTCTGTCCCTTGGCTTAGATCACATTTGTAGGGTTTGATTCTCTTGTGCAAGGCCTCCCATGTTGTCATTGATATAAAGTGAGTACAGAGTTATTCTGATTTGCAGGTTTTACGCATTTTGCACTGGTATCAGTGATAAAACAAAACACAGGACAGTGGAAAATAAGGTGCTTTTCAATCAATTTGCCTGTGTCTTTTGAATAACTTGGATGTCAGTAGCTGTGGATTGGTGCACTGGTGCAGTGGCTCTCAACCTTTTTTTGTACCAGGACCCATCTGTAGACATTGGTGGCCAGTGCCTCTCACTCCTGACCCACTGCCCTCCAGACCCCTGTGTGTGGGGGGAGGTGTTGGGCATAGGGGAAGCCTCAAGCAGGCTGGAACTTTGCCAGCCAGCAAGGGAAAAGCCACAGTTTCCCACATCTTTCTCCTTTAAAGGAGAATCCATTTTTCAAGTTTGTTCACAATCCTTTCGTGTATTCTTGCAACCCACTTTTGGGACACAACCCACTGGTTGAGAAACACTCCGCTAGTGTGAATGGCTTTGTTGGTATTTCTACCACCCTTTCCATTGAAATTTATTTCCAGTTACACTGAAAATCCTTGTCTTTCCCAAAGGCCTTCCTAATCCATTCCGTGGTCTCCTGAAACTGGGCAGCCTGGAGAGGAGAGGAGCAATGGGTATCTGGAAAGAGTTCTTCTGTGAGTTATCACCACTGGAACTCCGCTTCTTTGTGGACCATGAAGAACGGGTTTGTGTTGAGAATTGTTCCCTGCTGCGGTGCGAGTCGCTGGGCATGGCTCACAGTGATGGGCGTTTTGAGCTGGTTTTCTCGGGTAAGAAGTTATGCTTGCGAGCTCCTTCCCGAGATGAAGCTGAGGACTGGCTAGACAGGATACATGAGGCACTGCAAAAATGCAGGCCTCAGCAGGAGGAAGCCTGGGAGACCCTTGAGTATCCAGAAGACACCCTTGAAGGCCAAGCAGAACTCAGTAACTCAGCAGCACTTCTTCAGTACAATGACAAGTCTAGAGATGTCCTTGACTGGACATCCTCTAAGCCACCAGAATTAGATGCAGTTAAAGAATCAGTTCTTTATTTGGAGGTAGATAAAACTTGGGTTCCTTTTATTTTTTCCTTATCATTAGAAGCTTTAAAATGCTTTAGAGTAAGAAACGATGAAAAAACTTTAAGCAACAGCTATGGAATAGAGACCATCCAGGATATTCTTCCTGATACGAGTCTTGGTGGGCCTGCGTTTTTCAAGGTTATAACCTCAAAAGCCATCTTAAAGCTACAAGCAGAGAATGCTGAAGAGGCTGCGCTATGGAGGGGGCTTGTTCGTAGAGTACTAACTTCATACCTAGAAACTGCAGAGGAAGCGCTGACACTTGGTGGCAATTTAGATGGAAATTCCCAAGTAGTCCTGAAAAATATCGTAAAGGAAAATGGCTTTCTGTTACAATACCTGGTGGCCATCCCCATGGAGAAAGGCCTGGATTCCCAGAGCTTCATATGTGCAGGTATGTGCTGGCTTTGGGTATCTCCCTTATTAAAAAAAAAAAAAAAAATCAATACTTGAAAGGCCCAGAATTGTGTTTAATGAGGTGTTGCAGCTGAAGATCATGACTACAACCTGTGTGATTAGAGAGGCAAAACACAAATGTCAGATTTAAAATAAAAAATGGTTCAAGTGGTAAAACAACAGGAATGAAGCCCTTTTTAAGTGCATACACTAAAAGATGGAGGTACAACAATACATCGGTCCATACCGTATCGGCACCAATAAAAGGAAAATTGACATTTTCAGCAATAGGCTTTTTTGCCTGATGTGACCGATTTTTAAATGCCATGTATGTGCATGCGTGCATGCAGCCACAGCATGCACACAGCCAGCCCAGAAGCTTGGAGAACAGCATCTGGCTGGTAAGTCT